TCCCCGAGCCCCTGGCAGCCCCGCCGCGCGGAGCGAGCGCCGCCTCCGAGGGTCGCCGGGCGCCGGAGCCATGACCCTCCGCCGACTCAGGAAGCTGCAGCAGAAAGAGGAGGCGGCGGCCGCCCCGGACCCCGCCGCTCGGGCTCCCGACTTGGCAGTCGCTCCCTCCACTCCAGCCCCGACCCCGGCCTCGGGCCCCCGTGCTGCAGCCGCCAGCTCTGGGGCCCCCGGAGACGAGCTGTACGCGGCGCTGGAGGACTATCACCCGGCCGAGCTGTACCGCGCGCTCGCCGTGTCCGGGGGCACTCTGCCCCGCCGAAAGGTGCGTCCCCACCCCCCCAACTCCCACTGCCCCCCAGCTCTCGGTACCCTCCGGCGTCCTTTCCCCGAGACCTGCTCAGCCCCTCAACATCCTGCATCTGTGCCCTCTGACCCCACAACATATTCCTCGGGGGCCACCGCGTCCCCCACCTAATTCCCCAGCCCGCTCTTCCCCACCCACACGTTCAGAACCTGCTCTCCCTCGGTCAGTCTCCTCGGCCCTCTCCTCCAAAGGCGCAAGCCTCCCCCCGCCGCGGCCCCCGCCTCCACGCCGCCCCCGATCTCGGCGGCTCCCCACTCCACTCCCCACGCGCCGCCGTCGCGTCTCGCTCCTCTCCTCCCCGAGCACCCCCTTCTCCTGCTCGCTCCATCTGGCTCTCAGCACCCCTGTGCCCCGCCCCCCGTGCCCAGGTATCTCGAGGCCCCCGGGACCCCTCGCCTGGGCTGCTCCAGTTGGAACGGGGAGGCCTAGGGCTGCGGTCCCGCCGCTCGCCGGGACACGCTGAGGGTCTCAGAGCCCCGGGGGGAGAGGGAGGCGGGTGGACGAGGAAATGTGTGCGGCGCCGCGGACTCCCGAGAGCTCACCCTTCCGAGGGGACGCCCGGATTGCTGGGCTCCGGGCCTGCCGCCTTGCCCCGCGTCGGAGGTGCGGGGCGCGAGGCCACGGCTCCCGGGACTTCGCCGGGACCGGACGCGGTGGGAGGGGTCGCAGGGCGCCCGCGGGGCAGGAAGGATGCGAGCCGCGCCCGCGCTCTGAGTCTCCCCCTCCGCGGGGCTCTTCCTCTGGCCTGGGGGGACCTGAGCGCTCAGAAGTGGGGACACAGACCCAGGTCAAGGAGAAGGGGCTGGTGGCCTTTCCCCGCTCAGCAACCACCCCCCCCCACCCCCGGCCCTTGGCTCCCCCCCATACAATGAACAGCTTGTTGAGAATTTGCATTTTATGAAAATCGGGTTGAAAGACAAAGGGGTCTCTCTCTATGCTGCCCAGTCCTTCCACCCCGGCCCATTTGGGAACTGCCCCCACCCCTGAGGCCAGTATTTGGTTCTGGAGAAAGAGGGCTCACTTCTCTTCCTAGTCTTGGGGCAGCCTGGGGGGGAGGGTTAACTAGGGCACGGACCAGGAAGGCCCTGGGCTGTTGAGGGCACGTGGGAGGAGAGCTGGTCTGGCAAGGCCTCTTCCAAGGACCAATAATTTAGGGAAGGAGAGATACTAGTTGCTCCAGGGCCTCAAGGAGGCAGGAACCCTCAACTCTGACCGCCCCCACCCCAAGAAAAACCCTCTCAATCTCTCTCCTAAGTATAGTGAGACTTAAGAACAAGTTTGAGGTCTGGTTTTTGTTTGTTTTGTCCCAGAGAGCAACAAAATGTATGGCAACGTGGAGAAACCCAGGTGGAGCTGGGCGCAGCGGGCAACCTGCAGCTGGGATCCACAGTTGGTCCCTGAAACAGCCTGTAGTTTGGGGGAGAAGGGTTGGCCCTACTGTCCCCTGACTTTCCATGTTCAGGCTGGGATTGCCGGCTCTCCAGACCTGGGTCTCTGACCCCAGCTCCCCCAAGTCACTGTCTACGACTGAGAAAATAGGAGGAGATGCCCAATGGCGGCGGGGGTGGGGGTAGTCTCTGGAGTACCTTGGTAGGCAAGTCCAGGGTTCCCCTGCCCTTCTTTGGGAACATCTGGAAAGAGCCCCTGCCTCAGCTTTTAGAGTCTGAAAGGTCTGAGTCCTGCAGACATACACCCTGAGGGTAGAGACTATTCTATCTAGATTAATGAGTCCCCCTTGTCTCCACCCCCCCCCCCCCCCCCCCCCCCCCGGGCTAGCACAGTGCTTAGACAGTTCCTGCATCTGGAACCCAGTAGGACTGATGAGTCCCCACAGTCTCAGTCTCAGTTATGGGGTAGAGCCTGAGGGAGAACTCCGGGCAGTGATGCTGGAGGGGCATTCAGCAAAGTTACACTGGCACCAAAGCAGGTATGGAACTGGGACCAGACAGGCAGGCGACAGGAAGTGAGGTGCTGGGTCCAGGGCTGGAGGCCAGGGGAGGGACCTCGCAGAGCAGGACTCTCAGCATCTGCTCGAGGACAGTCCCTCTCTCACCTGCTCCTTCCTCTCTGTCTTCCCACGCAGGGCTCAGGACTCCGCTGGAAGAATCTCGGCCAGAGCCCTGAACGGCAGCGGTGAGTCCCCAGCACCCCAGCCCCTGCCCTGGTCCACAAGGGTGAGCTACTGGGGTGGCTGTGGACGGCAGCACGACATAGCTCTCTGCCCAGGGGGGACTCATTCTCCTCTCAGCATGCTTCCCTCACTAAGAGTGAGGGGCAGGTGGGGGTGTGGGCTGTGTTAAGGGGGTGGCAGAGAAAGGAGGTAGGGACTTTTGAGTCATCAGGTGCTCCTCATGCCACCCCCAGTCCCTGCCAGTTACCCCTCCCTGAGGAGATCTGGATCTGGGAGGTGGAGAAGTGGAAGTCTTCGGGGCTCCCCTGAGCTCTCCCGGCCCCAGCAAGCCCCGGGGCCCAGACCCTAGCCCGGCTGCTGGAGTCTGGCGACCCCTGCGTCCAGGAGCTCAGTCCTCTGCTGCTCCCATCCTGCGGTGGCCGTCTTTGGAAGCATCCGCGGTGAGGGCAGAAGTAGGCACTGACCTCAGGCCCCACGTTGCTCAGTCTCATGCGGATTGGGGCCTGGCTTCTAAAATGGATCAGCAGACTACAGCCTGCTGGCCAGATTGGCCCGTTGAGCCCTTGAGCTAAGAGTTGTTTTTCTATTTCTAAAGGGTTGTAAAAATAACAACAAAGAACAATATATGACAGAGGCCAAATGGAGCCCGCAAAGAAAGCCTAAAATACGTACTATCCTGGCCTTTTGCAGGAAAAAGTTTGCCAACACTTGAAGAAACCCAGAGAACACTGGGGTAACACATAACTTCAGTCACCTTATTCCCCAGCCCAACGCACAACACACACAGAGCGGGGAAGGCCTCCCTTCACAGTGGGGAGGAGCTCAAGTTAGGGCTGGGAGTTGCTTCTCAGCATTTGGGGGGCATCTGGGTCAGGCTGGGAGCTGTGGGCCTGGGTCTCAAGGGCCTTTCCGAGGCTGTAAGACTTGAAGAGGCCTCTGGAGGCTGCTTTCACTCTGCCTCTGGCGGGGCGGGAAGGAAGGGGGTGGGGGTGGGCAGAGGAAACTCTGGGCTCCCCCAGCAGGCGAGGATCTGGAGCGGCTCCAGACCATTGTGTCCAGTGGGCAGGCCTTCAGTGCGGGAAGGGGCGGCCTCGAGGCTCCCCTCCCCCCAGCCTCACATCTGGTGGGCTGGCCCGCTGCAGCTGGGAGGAGCAGCTGTGGTCTGGGCTGAGCCTCGTGACTGGCCTCCGAGGGTGGGGCCAGCCCTCTCCCCAAGGCTGCGGAGTAGAGAGGCTCAGGGCTGGGGCCGAATTTGGGGCCTCAGCAAGTCAGTGAGTGGTACTCTAGGGCTCACTAGAAAGCTGGAGGAGTGGCTCAAAAGCTCTGGGAGTCCATTCCCTCTGGGGCCCAGCCATTTGCAGGGCCTCCCTGCACTGGAGGCTAGATTGATTCTCTGTGGCTCCATGAAGCGGATTTCGGCTGGGGATTGGGACAGGCATTCCAACAACCTGTGATGAGAGTGAGTTGTCGCTGGAGACCGTGAGCCCTGCCTGGGTGTTCTAGAGCAGACCCCAACATCAGTGGAAGGCCACACTAGGGGACCACCAAGCTCCTTTTAATCCTGACAGTCCTGAAATGGCCCCCGTGTCCCCTTGCAGGAAAGTGCTAACTTTGGAGAAGGAGGAGAACCAGACCTTCGGCTTTGAGATCCAGGTGGGAGAAGCTGGGTACAGAGGGAGCGAGGGATGGGGAGGCCAGTCTGAGGGATGGCTGGCCCCTGCCACACCCCTGGCCGATGGTCCCCTTGTCTCTTACAGACTTACGGCCTTCACCACCGGGAGGAGCAGCGCGTGGAAATGGTGACTTTTGTCTGCCGCGTTCATGAGTCCAGCCCTGCCCAGCTGGCTGGGCTCACACCAGGTGAGGTCTGAGCCCAGGACACAGGGCTCCGGGAAGGTGGTATGACCTCACTCCCAAGCAGAGGGGGTGAGAAATCTCTTCCGAAATCAATTCCCCTTCCTCCTCCTGTTTTGAGAAGGCCAAAAAGAAGAGTGGAGAGAATCTAGGCTTTGGATCAAGGCAGATTTGCCATTTACTGTGTGATATCGAGCAGTCCCATCTGCAAAATGGGGGCAATAACATGCCCAGGGGTTCCCTAGGCACAGAGCCAGGGCCTGGTAAATAAATGGCAGATGTTGCTGCTGGTGTTTTGACTCCTGGCAATCTGGTCATCCAGCCCAGGGCAGGAGCTGGGGAAGGTGCAACATTCCATTCGATCTGCTTGATGTTGGAGATCAGGGCCTATCCCGCCCCGACCTGGCCCAACTCGGGGGACCTGTGCTACTTCCTCTAGCAAGGAAATGATATGGTGCCTCCAGTAGGGGACCCTTGGGATTGGCCAAATCCAGAGCCCCCTGGTCCCAGGAAGGGGATTGAGACTGTATGAACTGACCACCTCCCCCACTCTACCACCACTTTCTTCCCTAAGCCCCCACCTCCATGCCCACTTACCAGCAGCCCCTGGTAGCCAAGTGGTGTACCGCAACTTTGCAAAAGGCCTTCGTATCCACTCTCCCTCCTGATCTCCGAAGTAGCCACAGTAGGGATCCACACCCCTGTTTTACAGATGGGAAATGGGCCCTCAGAGATGGTGGCTTGCCCTGCCTGAAGTCAGGAGGTTCTGCGGTGGCACAGGGTCTCAGAAGCTGAGGCCTCTCATGCCTGGGGCCAGTGTCAGTTCCCAGCTGTGTCCTACTCATCCTGACCCCTTCCTGTCTTGGCTGGGTCTCAGGACCGTCTGTGGGCTAGACAGAAGTAACCAGCTCCAGGGGCAGCCCAGGGTTGCTGAGAGGGCTCAGCCTTTGGGGACAGATTCCTGAAGGTGGGGTGAAGGTGTAGGTATAGGAGGGCCTGACCCCTGCGCTGGGGTGCTGGGCCAGGAGGAGGTTTCCCCACAACCATGAGGAGTGGTGGGAGGGAGCGCAGGAGTGTTCTGTGGGATTATTACCCTGACCCTTTGCGGCTCGGGTAGGGGACTGGAATTCTTCCATCATGCCACAAGGAACAGATGCTGACCCCCCTCTCTGCCTGGCAGGGGACACCATCGCCAGTGTCAATGGCCTGAACGTGGAAGGCATCCGGCATCGAGAGATCGTTGACATCATTAAGGCGTCTGGTAACGTCCTCAGGTATGTCCGGGTGCCGCGGTCCCTGAGGGTTCCTGAGCTCAGCTTCTCTGTGTTTCCACGGCCTGTGGGCTCACTCAGCCTTTGGTTCCCCAACCTCCTCAGGCTGGAAACTCTGTATGGGACGTCCATTCGGAAGGCCGAACTGGAGGCCCGTCTGCAGTACCTGAAGGTAAAGCAGCCCAGATAATGTTCCGCCTCCACCCTCTTCTGCCCAAGCCCCTGCCCCCCCAGGCCTCACTCTTTTTTTGTCGGGGCCTATTTACCTGTCTGAACCTGCTTTTAACCTTAAGATTTCTTCTGTGTACTGCCTGACCCCTCAGTCTGTCTATACCCACCTCCTGCTTGTCTCTTGCTAGCTCCTGACAGTGAGGCGGGGGGTGTCTCTTGCAGCAAACCCTGTACGAGAAGTGGGGAGAATACAGGTCCCTAATGGTGCAAGAACAGCGGCTGGTGCATGGTGAGTGGACTCGGGGTGCAAAGGGCCCCTTCTGCCCCTGCTGATACCCCTCTTCATGCTTCCACCCCAGAACGAGGGGCTTACTTCCCTGGCCAAAGTGAAGAAAGGTTTGTTGAGCTACTACTTCGGGCACAACACTGCCCTGGGCTACTTAACTGCACACACATTTTTAGTTCATTCTCACAATAGCCTTGTGCTAGTAAAAGCATTAGTATCATCCCATTTCACAGATGGGAGCAGCAAGGCTCAATGAGCCAGTTTCAGATACGTTCCGGGGCCCTTGTGTTTCCCGTGGTCCTCCTAAGGACTTGAGTGTGGAATCCTGTTTTGCAGGGCAGGGAAGTGGGGCTTAGGCCAGGGGCTACACGTTTGGTCAGCAGGAAGGAGCGGAGGTCCCCTCCCCGTGCCCTCTGACCGCCCGCCCTCGTGTCCTCTGCCCTGGCAGGCCTGGTGGTGAAGGACCCGAGCATTTACGACACGTTGGAGTCGGTGCGCTCCTGCCTGTACGGGGCCGGCCTGCTCCCGGGCTCGCTGCCCTTCGGGCCCCTGCTGGCCGCGCCCGGG